GTCGTTGAGCAACTGGCTTTCTGAGAATTTCGTTTTAAACTCATTTAAACGAAACCTGAGTCCTTCGTTTTTCTGTAACTCTTTTCTATATTTAATGTTTTCCTGTGTCAACTTGCTGGCTGCTTGTTTAAACTGGTGCTGTGTAGAACTCAGCTCCTCTTGTAGTTGCTCAATCAACTGAAGGGACTGTTTCAAATCACTCGAACATTTGTTCAACTCAGACGTTTTAGCCAGCAAATGATTGTTATTTTCAACCAATGACCTAGTGCAACGGTCCCAGTTAGATTGTGAATTGATAAATTTCTTATTCACATTTTCTAGTTCTTCAGAGAGTTCTTTTTTCTCGTCTTCACATACGACTAATAAATTCTTCATTTGGTTTGTAGAAGCCTTGAATGACTTTTGCGTTGTCCTCAGTGTTATTAATTCATTATTTGCCATCCATGGTTCTTTATTTTGTCTTGAACTAGAACTTCTAAGACTGTTATTTTGTTTTTCTAAATCTTTAATAATTTCTTTACCTGATTTCAGTTCCTTTTGAAGACTTTCAATTTTGGATTGTAGTTTAGCCTTCACGTTTGCCAGGTTGGCCTCAAACTGGTTTGTAGTAATCACCATCTCTTCATGTTTTACTTTGATATATCTATCCTTTTCCAAGATGATTGTTTGAAGTAGCTTTATTCGTTCTTCTGCGTCAAGTAACTTATTTTGAAGGTCTGCACAATCTAATTCTGCTTCTTTTGCAAGATTTGAGTTAAGTTCCTGTGCATTTTGAAGTTCCTTCATTAATTCAGAATGGTTCTCTTCATAGTGTTCCAACATGACTTTTGAATCACAAATGAGTTTGTCTTTTTCTGAAGTTATGCCTTCCAACTTTTTTACAAACACCAGTTATCAAAGGGTACAAGAGACCTGTGTGAACTGTGTCTTATAAATTAGGCTAGTAATGACGTCATAATGACGCATTCGGAAAAACAAAGAAACGTTCGATCACATGACGTCACAA